ATGCCATTTACAGTATCATTAAACACTAAATAGCACCTAAAACTAAACCATTTCTATGATGACTATATTAAATATACTTTAAAATATTTAAAGATGACTTAAATAAATACAACAGTATATAACCTGCTAATAGATTTAGAGACTTAATGTTGTAAAAATGTCAATTCTTCTTAATCTATAGATCCAATGTTATCTCAATCAAAATATCAAAAGTATTTTTGTGGAACCTGACAAATGGCTCCTAAATTTTATATTAAGGTTCAAAAGACTAGGGAGCAAAAGCACTCATAAAAGAGGAATGACATAAAAAGACTGTTCTGCCAGATTTCAAACCCTGTCATTACATCATACACAAAAATGAATTTCTGGTGTAGTTGTGGAAAGCCTAAGAAACCTTGTGAAGATAATATCTGAGAAAATTGTGATGACCTCAAAGTAGGGACACTTTCAATCAAGAAATATCATACACTAAGCACAAAAGATTAATAAGTTCAACTACCCTAAAATAAAAGATTTTTGCATATCAAAATCAGTATCAGGCCGGAGGTAAAGCTCAAGTAGTAGAGCACTGGCCTAGCATTCCCAAGGCCATATGTTCAATCACCAACTCACAAGATAAAACAATTATTATAAAATCATTCCAAAAGGAGAAGCCAAGAACTGGGAAATTATACATGCAACACAAGTAAGTACTAGAGAATTTGTATCCAATGTATTAAAAACTCATAGAAATACATTAAGAAAAAGAAAATTTGATAGAAAAGTACTTCACAAAAGAAATTTAAATAGACAATAAGCATATAAATTAGCAATCAAGGAAGGAAATAGTAAAATTTAAATGATTTTTTGAGACAGGGTCTTCCTATGTAGTTCAAGCTGGCCTTGAACTCACTATGTGGCCAAGGCTGGCCTCAAACTTACAGTGATTCTCGTGTCTCAGCCTCACAAGTGCTGGGATTACAGGTATGCACCACCACACCTGCCTTTTCAATGACATACCACTACATACTGCCAGATGAGATGAAAATGAAGTTAGGCAAAGTGTAGTAAGATTACAGAACTGGAGAATGTCTGTCGTGCTAATGAAATATATAAATATATATCTATAAATATATTTATATATTTAAATGTTAAATATATTCATAGATATATGTGAATACATATATTAACATATATACAAAATGCACACATATATACCTCTACACATTTCCAAGAATGTTTATAGTGGCATTATTTGTAATACCACCATAGTAGAAATATAATTGATAAGATCATATAGTGCATTTTTAAACAGTAAAATTCTATTTATCATGCCACAGCTACCCATAACATATATTGAGAGGAAAAATGCAAAACACAATAAAATATATGATTCATTTATATAAACATTTAAAGCTTATTAAGGTTCAAACACTAGCAAGACTAAGTATCATTTAGAAATATATACATAGACATTTATTGAAACTTATTTCAGGTCTTTATACTTGATCAGTTTTGGTAAATGTTCAAAGGTCACTGAAAATAGTGCAGTTTTCCTATTTTGGTTGTAGGATTTCATATCCATATAAAAATACAGTAAGCATATATACATAATACACGCTTATAAGCACACATATATGTTACAGCAATGGCATTATCGACCAAGCTGAATTTATGTTTAAAAAATTCCCACCACAATCACAGATTGGTCAGCTTTCTCTTATAATTTCTTTTTGCTGCATATTTTTCCAGCTATATGGTTATCTACATACATGTTCATGACTGTAATATTTTCTAGTGAATATTTGTGATATAGTAAGATGCACCTTTTGTCCTGTTATTCAATATAAAGAATATTTTGATAATATTGCTACATAAAGTTTTTGTTTATAATTTGCCTGGCATGTCTTTTTTATCTGTTCATTTTCCATATTTTAGTTGACTGTTTTAATATGCTTATTTCTAATTATGTTAGTAATAATGGTCTGGCCTGCTAATGAGATGGTCCTGTGGTTAGGTTAGACAGAGGTGGTTAAGTTATAACCGTATCAGTACTCTAGTGAACGATATGTCCTATACAGGCTATCTCTAAGAAGCCACTTCTCTGGGCCCCAGAGTATCTTCACTTAAAATCAGGATTTTATTGGTAGAGTACAATCCACTTTATTTCTCTATTTTTCTTACTTGTCAAAACATATAAAAGCACTAGTTCTTTGTATTAGAAAGTACATTTTCAGGTTAAACTTTCAATGCATATCCTATTACATATATTACTTTATTTTTAAATGTGATTTCTGACTGAAGAGCATTGGAGCTTTTTTTCCCTATTTTGTATTAAAAGCTTCAAATATATTTAAGTAAAATTTTTACCTTTTGTGGGTTGATAACTGTAAATAAGGGGGTTTACTAGAATTCAGGTAAGTGATTCAACTGGTAGAAATGTAGAGAGACTTGATTAGAGTTATAATTAGACTGAGTAACTTAATTAGAATTTTGATGATATATAGAAAGTTTGATCATCACGTGATTTTTTTATTAGTGATTTTTCTCCCAAATGGAAACCATTTCTCTGGGTCTTGTCATATCTTCATTTGAAATCAGGATTTCAGAATGTAAGTTAATGTTTTCTTCTTTAAAATAATAGAGTAAGGCAGTAACTTTGTACATCAGAACATTTTTCCTGATAAAACTCATTCATTCAATCCATCCATGCACCCATTCATTTATCCTCTCATTTGTAAAATTTTGACTGGGCAACTGTTGGTGTCAGGCATTGTTTCAGTCGCTTGGCCTACACTCCCTAGCAAAGATCCTTGCCAGGGTAGAACTTATATTCTGCATGGAAGAGGTAGAGAGAAAAACAAATGCAGGATTATTAAATGGTATAAGATCATGGGAGATGATTTGTGCTGTGTAAAGAAGAAAAAAAGAGCAGAGGAAGAAAGAAACAGAGTACAGGATTTTAGGGTACAGAAGGATAGAACAGCTGCAATTTTAAATAGGGTTGTCAGGGTTGGTTGGCCCCATTTGAACAATGGCAAATGAGAGAAGGAAGAGAGTTCTTGGCAGAGAAAATAGCTAATTCAAGGCTCCTAAGACAGATGCAGTCATATATCTCTAAACACCAGGAAAGAATGTAGCCTAGATAGGTACAAGCAAGTGATGAGTCAAAGAGGCAAGGGTAAGGCTAGACCATGGAAAACCTTGGAGGCCATTTAAGTACTGTACTTTACCTCTTACTGTAAAGGTAATGGGAGCCAATGGCTCCTTGCTATCTGACTAGATGTCCTTTTCTTGCAAACCCATCCTACTATATTAATTTTTTAAATTATTATACATCAAATGGTGTAATGTGATAATTCATTGTTACTTTCATTTTCTTCTTTCATATTTATTGTCTACTGTTGTTTTGGAATTGCTTTTTCTGAATAGTTTGTTTTGCCCTTTATTTTTTTAATTAGGTTGTTTGTGTTTTTATATTATGCATATTGCTATTAATAATAATAATATTTTCTATATTATAGACATTACAAAACACATCTGCTAATCTAGCATTTAGCTTTTGGCTTTGTTTTTGACATCTTCTGATATAAAATTAAATTTTTTTCTAAAAATTTTTACCCCTCAGATCTCATAATCTTACTCTTCTTACTGAGAGGAACTTACAATCTCAATCTAGGCAACACAGAAAAAAAGAATGAAGAATGAAGTAAGTGACAAAAGACTAAAAGGAAAGAAAGATAAAATAAGAAAGGTAGAAAATGTCTGGATAAAATTAATTTTTATATAGGTAAGTGCTTTAAAGTCCTCACTTTAAGACTCTTAGATATTCTGTCTCGATTAAACATCTTTTCAAATCCTAGGTTCTAAAGTTTCTCAAAATTTTCTTCTTTTTATGACTTCTTTTTTCCCTTTTGGGTATTTTTCAGGGTAAAGTCTGATAACAGAATTTATGTATTACTTCCTGCCACAAGAATAGTCAGTTTTGCAATCAGTTATTAAATAAAACATCCTTTTCACATTGAAAAAAAATACTTTTCTCATATTAAAAGGAGCATTTTCAAGATTAAAATATTTTACACTATGTTCAAAAGCTGGCAAGAATGATCTGAAAGAGATGGTGGCTTCATAGATTATGAGAAACAGGAAATATGGCAAGATGCCAGTCACTAACAAAGCGGAGGAATTAGGACCCACAGCACCAGGGAAGGGTTTGGAATGACCTCATTTCTAGGCAAACATGCAAAGCTGAGGACATGGCCAGAGCCAAAGGCCACTTCACAGATATGCTCAGAAGGGTGACAAGGAGTAACCTTGTTTAAGAGCTTCTATTTTCCCAAGGAAATTAAAATATTTTCTACTCTCAAAAAGAGGAGGAGTAAGGAAAAAGAGGTAGAAGAGATACATATAGTTGAAGAAAGAGGGGAATGTGGGTACTATTATTGCAGAGGGGGAAGATAAACAATTAGGGGAATATAAGTGAAATGGCAAGCAGAATTAAAGGTCCAACTAGATTTTTGCAGCGATAGGTTTCAAATAACAATTTATGAAAGCTTATATGATCTTTGCCAGCTAGGTTAGCTGACAGGATGAATTATAAGTTTTCAGTAAACTTTTCAACATTTAATTCCTTTTTAAAAAATATTTTCAAATGGTTTAATCAAAGCTTTTGTAATTTCATTTTATTAGTACTTTCATTTAAGTAAAAAAAATTAAGCTTTCTTATTAATATTTTCAGACCTTTTTGTCAAGAGCTTTTAATGTTGTGATCTGACTGATTATATTATATATTGGTGTTAATTAAATTATTGGGAGCTTATTTGATTACAGTTGGCAGTCAAAAGATTGGGTAGTTAAATGGATTGGGGTGACTCACTTGGGATTCATAAAGACATTTAGTATATAAAACTGTGGATTATTTTTTATGATTGTGTCACCATCTTGCCATTGTTACTCTATTCTTCTATTTCATAGTGCGTAATTCATTCATTCATTCATTTATTCATTCAACAAATACTTACTCAGCACCTATTTTGTGCCAGGCACTGTTCTATATGCAGAGGATACACCAGTGAACAAGAGACAAGGTTCCTGCTTTCCTGGAACTTATGTTCTAATACAGGAAGATAGACAATAATAATAAAAATAACATTAATAATGATAACTAACATTTATTTATCAAATACTGATGCTGAGACAATTCTAAGCACTTTACAAGCATCAATTTACTTAATCCTTATAGTAACAATATGAGGTGGGGACTAGAATTATCCTCATTTTTATATGAGCAAACTGAGGGCACAGAGAAGGAAAATAACTTGTCTAGAGTTTACACAGCTAGAAAACGGACTAAACTGTAATTTAGAACCAATACGAGCTAGATCTTTTTCTCTCAATGGCCTTGCTATGCAGCCTCTCAGGCCAAAAACAAGGAAATGCAACAAACAGAAAACATAAAACACACAGGTAGTATTTACAACTATGAAAAAATAAAACAGGGTGATGTGATGGTGTTTGTGGGGGTGCAAATAGAGACGGCAAGGAAAACCTCAAGTACCTGTACTATTAGAGCTGAGACTTGAAGGATGACAGTATAGTTACTTCGGGCCAGAGGCAATGAAGAAAACCTTGCATAAATGCGACTTTTATTCTAAGTGCAGCAGAATATGATAACGGAATATAACCTCATCAGATTGATAATTTTGAAAGATGACTTCCACTGCTACATGTAAAACTGTAGGACAAAATAAGTAGGAAGACCCATGGGGGCAATTATAAGTGGAAGAGGACTGTGGTTTGGATGAAGGTGATGCCATGGAATGACATTTAGGGTAACTTTTGAAAGAACTGGCAAATGAACAGAATCAGAGAAGTGAAGGAAAAAAAAAAAAGAAAAGTGAAGGTAAAGGAATTTAGGTGCATATCTTGGGACATTGGTTTGAGTTACTAGTATGATGGTAGAATCCTTTAAGGTGTGTAAGACAGGGGTAGGAATACCTTCCCTAAGAAAAGTCTAGATTTGCATCTTGAACTCTGGGGGGAAGCGACTTTTTCTACTTTTCTTTCTTAATTTAAAATTTTCAAAGACAACTTAGGGAGAAAAATACTTAAATGTTAAATTTTATGAGATCCTGACATAGGAAACTAAGTTGGGAAAGCTGGATTTTAACAATTACGTATTGAGCATCTAACTCAGGCCCATCTCTGTGTGACAAGATACCAAGACAAATAAAGCCCTGCCCTCAGCGAGCTTTGGGATGGGAGAGAGCAATGGTGACCCCCGCCCCGCGCCCTCACTTTTCGATGCCTCATTAAAACTTCACCTAACGCTTGAGTAGCCATTTTAATTCCATCTCGCGCTCCTGGCAGTTGGGCCCACCGTTCTAGACGTTCAAGGTCGTCAACGCTAATACTGTCATCTTCCCTCCCAGTAACACTAAACGCTTTTTTAATAAAAATAAAAATTTTACAAACAATACGACTACAACCTTTGCTTTGAAGTCTAATATTTTTGCAGGAATGGTACCTTTATAAAGATCGTGGTTGCCCCCGTAACATATTTGTTCTTTCTTCATATCCAATTAAATGAAAACTAGTTTTTCCGTAGCCCAACTCCCTAGGCTTGTTGGGTCTACCTCAGGAGAAAGGATGGAAGCAGGAGCCGTTGAATTTAAACAGTTTGGTGTAATCCTAGCCGGGGACGTGGTGTCGGCTACCCGGGGCTTCCCATCCACGCAGAACCGGAATGGAGGAGTCTGGGAGGGGGTCGGGAAAGGAAAAGACGGAAGAGACATTAAGTAATTGGTTCTCCAAGGTATAAAATGATATTTAGGGTCTACTCTAAGGCACTGATTTCAAACACCCGCCCCCTGGGCTGCTTCGGCCCCGCCCCTTGATATCGTCACACCGACTTCCACCAAGACCTCTGCGGATTGGTCGTGGCCTCCGCCTCCGAAAGCGAGAAAGCGCTTGGGTTTTGCTTCCGGGTCTTGGGTCGTAGCCGTGGACGCAGAGGATTCTGGGAGCCAGGCGTAGCCATGGTGTTTATATGATCTACGGAAGTTGCTGTTTTGTGTTTGAGCCCAAGTGTGCGGCGAGAGGATTGCGATATATTCTCCTTATACGGGTAGGACGGGAAAAGGCAGCTGGGGTCGACTCCGGAGAGGGTGGAGAAGGCCCCAGAGCGGTGGGCATGTGGGGCGCATCCACAGCTTTCAGGCCAGCCGCTGAGGACGCAGCGTGGAGGCAGCTTTGCTTCAGGCCCTTAGGTGGGCCCGGGTCGCTCCCACCGCAGTATTCGCCACCCATGGGAGGGCAGCGAGTTCATGGTGACAGCCGAGGGCGGGCTCCCCGGAGGCGACTTTGCCCTAGCAAGAGACCCTGTTTTCCCCTCCGGATACACTCCGTTTCCCTTTCTGATACTTAAGAGATGTATATTAAAAAGAAAGAAAGGGAGGAAAAATTCTATTTCTGTCACCCATTCCATTCATGTGTTTTTCCAACACTAACGGAATTTTAGTAACCATATGTTCCAGGCAAAGTTGTTTTGGTTGCTCAAATCTGAAAGTAACGTAAAGAATAAGTTCCTAATTTTTGGTTATTAAGATCCTTTGCGGGTGAGGTTCCTGATTTCTGAGCATACAGAAATATGTGTGTATATAACTACAAATTTATGTAAGTTAAGTATAACCCACATAAGTTCTGATTTATATTATGATAGCTGTTAAAGGATAAAATTGAATCAAAAGATTGCTAAAGAATATTGCCCTTGTAACTGTCAATTGAATTTTAGCACTTCTCTCTGAAACACTGAGTAACTATGTCGATGATTTTTAAATTGTTTTGTTTTTGTTAACTTATTTCTCTTCTTGAGGTTTAGATGCAATGCAAATCTTAGTTTGGTAGAATAAGAGTGAGTATTTTTAAGACTTAGTCATGGCAGTTCTTTACATGGACTTTGACATGTCACGTCTCCTACTTTTCATAGTCTTGTGAGGATTGGCCATTTCCACAGGTGACAAACAAAATAGGGAACTTGTCCGAAGCGACACAACCAAAAGAAGTGCAGAAACACCAACTCAGGTCTTTATAACAGAATATTTTGTTCTAAATAAGAGCTACCTGGGAAATCATATTCCATGTACACCTTGAGTCTCATACTTTGTTTTCTTGAGAATTTTGTTTAAAAATTGTTTGAGAACTTTCGTGGAATAAAATTGGAAGTTTTTCACAAGGATAGATGTTGAGTAATTTATAAAATGAGAGTGTATTGGAAATAACAACTTTTTTTTCAAGGCACAAAAAATGACAACAGCAGCCAGGCCAACTTTTGAACCTGCAAGAGGTGGAAGAGGAAAAGGAGAAGGTGATTTGAGCCAACTCTCAAAACAGTATTCAAGTAGGGACCTTCCCTCTCATACAAAGATAAAATACAGGTAATGATGACTTTCATTTTTTTCTTATTCACACACAAGACAAACTGTTAAAGGGCATGATCATGGTATATGATCATGTTTGTTGTATCACTTGCCTATTTTCATAGGAATAGAATGATAATAAAAGGTCCACAATAAAATTATGCTCTGATTTTACAGTGCTATCTACATTCCTCTTAACCAGGAATTTGCATATGTAGATAGAATAGTAATTAATATATTACCTTAGATTATGAGCACTATCAGCACTAATCCATATGAAATAAAAGTATTTTTATAACAAGCCTGTGAGTTGATATCAGTGTGCAGCCATATTGTAGGAAAAGAAGTGATGCTATTTGGGCTTCTTGAAATATTAGAAACACCACAAATGTGTTATCTTGTCCTCATTCTTGTTTTATGCTCAAGGGACAGTTTGCATTTATCAACTGTTTTCCATTGCTATAGCCATGTAATTTTTTTTCTTTGTTTGGGGTGAGTAACATTTTTGCCCTTGGTTTGTTTCTAATTTAGACAAACTACTCAGGATGCCCCTGAAGAGGTTCGTAATCGTGACTTTAGGAGAGAATTGGAAGAGAGAGAGAGAGCTGCTGCAAGAGAGAAAAATAGGGATCGTCCAACCCGAGGTGCAACACTGTCCCAAATATTTGTCTCATAAAATTATGTTGTTGATAGTTTTGCTCTCATGTAGCAAATTGCAAGTGTTGATATTTTTGTGAATTCTAACACTGCCGTAATGCTTTTAATGTGGGCTCTGTGTGCCCACAGGTCTCTTAAACATTGTAAGAAGTGCAGTAGTTGTTTCAGTGAGCTAAAAGATGTTTGTTTTCCTTCAGAACACACAACCTCCTCCTCAGTGTCAAAGAAGCCTCGGTTAGACCAGATTCCTGCTGCCAACCTTGATGCAGATGATCCTCTAACAGATGTATGTTGTGTTTTCTCCTTTTGTCTCTGTCTAGTAATTTATCGTGTTTTTCTAAAGTATGTTGTTTTAATGCTCCTGACTTTTATGATGTGTGTTTGTTTTCACATAGTGTTATTCAAATGTGTCTCTAAACTCAACCCTAAACTTCACAGTTGATTTTAAAATAAAAAGTATTAGTGTGCATTAAGGACTTAAAGAACAAGTTTGATCTTTCGAGAACTGAATATAGAAGCAATCTATTAAAGGACATACTTTCCCCAAAATGTCTTGTATTAAGGCCTAGAGGTTGTGCTAGCATATTTTCTTCCAGAGGACACACTTTAGGTTGGGTTCTGGATTCTGTAAACAGCACCCCCTAGTGTTATACCCATGGGCCTTTCCTCATTAAATTTGAAGCTTCCTTCAGCAGCTCAGTACACATAATGGTTCCCAGGAGTCACACATCAACCCATTAAAATTCAGTGGTGCCTTATAGACTGTAATTTGAGGTTTTCAACATAACACTGGAAAAAATCTAAGTGACCTGTCATGGGTAGTATCTAATTATGCACATATGTCAGCAGTTAATTCTAGAGCTAACTGGTGGAGTTAACTACTACTCATTAAAACAAATCCCAGTTTTAGGTGAAATTTAATGATTATTCATTTGAAATTATTTAGTACCCTTTTTGTATGTCTAATTATCCCTAATTGCTAGCTGACAGTTGCTTTTAGCTACATAAAATTACTTTTATTCTCTTTGGATGATGCACTGTACATATGTACTGTGTTTCATCATGAAGTATTCACTTTCTGATTTTAGAATATTTTCATGTGAAGTTCTTTTTGGCCATGTAAATTTTTTTTTTTTTGGTACCAGGGATCGAACTCAGGTCCTTGAGCTTGCAGGGCAGGCGGCAGAACCCCTGAGCTAAATCCCTGGCCCCTTGGCCATGTAAATTTGAAAGGCACTTTTATGAGGAATGGACATATTAGTAAGAATTCACAAGCTTTTTCTAGGGCTTTATATTTTGGTTCATTGTTGATTTTAATCATGATGTTTAAGTACATTTTCCCCCTAGGAAATTTTATTTCTGTCCTAAAGATTTGTTATGTGTAATTTTTATGGGGAAAAGTGGATATGTATTTTCTCTCCAATATCATGGATCATAATTATGCCTTTTTAGGAGGAAGATGAAGATTTTGAGGAGGAGAGTGATGACGATGATACTGCAGCTCTTCTTGCAGAACTGGAAAAAATTAAAAAGGAAAGAGCTGAAGAGCAGGCCAGGAAGGTAAAATGAGTGTTAAGTATTTACATCTCCCTGTCTTCTCACACATTTTTAAACTCAAATAATATCTTTGTGTATTAGAAATTTTCCTAATCATGTCTGAATATGATAGTGCCCTATAGATCTATAAATCTGATTATTTTTATGAGATCCTAAGTCTCCTGGTTATGTTGGATATTCTTTTCAAAGAGTTCAGACATGCTAATAGTCATCAGCTTGATTGTATTCACTTGTTAGGTCAATACACATTTACTCGGTGTTTATTAAATATCAGAAGAATCAAAGATAATGTATAGTCATGATCTACAAAGTTTCTTTCTCTTGCCTCCCACCTAGGCACTTGTTGAGGCAATCTTTGTCTAGATCTTATGTACTATAGGGCAAGTTACCTAACTGCTTTAAGTATCCACAGTCTTCATTTACACAGTGGAAGAAAAGAATGTCTAATTCAGTATCTTTGGGGAAAAAGACACACAGATTAAGACCCCCAGATATAAAATTGGGAGATAAGCACAAGTCTGAGCATTTAAGGTTTATAAACCAGTGCTACAGGAGTTAGGATTTTGTTCTAAAGGTTATGAGGAGCCAGTTGATTTCAGCAGGAGATTGATAAGATTGCATATGCATTTTAGAAACATTATTATGGCACAAATAAGAAGGATAGATTGGAAAACACTGAGGAGACTTTTCAATAATCCTCACGTGCAGTTAAGAATATCTTAACTTGCATGATAAGAATTGGAATTGAGAAATAAACAAGCACTAATAGAACAACAAAGGAGGTAGAATTGACCACATATGGTGACGGTTTGGTTGCTGCACCAAAACATAGATAACTGATTGCATATACAAAGAGAAAGTGGAAGGGATGTATTTAAGCAGAAAGAGATGATGAGTTCTGTTTTGAACATGTTGAATTTGACACTTGGTAAGACATTTGAATAGAGATATCTGCCCCCATTTTCAGCCAGAGTATCACAGTTCTTTATGGACTTTGGTGTAAGATTAGAAAGATGGAAAAGCCGTTGGAGAAACATAGTGACTTGGATTAATGCTAAGAATCTGAAGAAATAAGAGTTCAGAGAAGTGTCAAGGAATTCAGAAAAGAAATAGAATATGAGATAGACTTTGAAGACTGTTAGAATTCAGATTGGAGGGCCGGGGGATTTAGCTCAGTGGCACTGTACCTGCCTCGCAAGTGCAAGGTCCTGAGTTCGACCCCTGGTACCGAAGTGGGAGAGGGGATTCAGATTGGAAGAAGAAAAATGCATGTAAAGAATTAAGAACATTTCTAGGATCTTTTGCTTGCCACTAGAGGGCAGTCATTCCCCTCTGTTTTTTTAATGTGCCTGTCCTCTGTATACTTACAGAGACAAATTTATGTAAATGATTTGGGTTGACCTTGGAGGAGGATAAACATTTTAGAGGCCTGGAAGTTAAGGGAATTTCATCCAATCTCTGTACAAAAATGTGTTGGTATTTCTTGGAGTTGCATCCCAACCTTGTTTCTTTTGTCCCTGTTTTCTCTTTCCATCAGCTGTTATTTTGATATGTCCCACATCAAAAGGCTATTAGCCTTTATCAGGGATCAGCATACTTCCTTTAGTAAAGGGCTACATGATAAATACTTTAAGATGGCTGGTCGTACAGCCTCTGTTGCAACTACTCAACTGCTGTTACAACACAAAAGCAGCTATAGAAAAATATATAAATGAGTAAGTGTGATTGTGTTCCAACAAAATCTTTATTTGCCAAAATGAGAAAGGGTAGTTTAGATTTGACCCATGGGGTATCCAACCATTAGCTTATGCGCCTGGTATTTGAATATAGGAAGAGTAGGTGCCTTTTTCTGCCAGTGCTGTGTGTAGTAATCAAGTGACTCTAAAGGAAATAGTACTCTAAACAAAAAGTCCAGCACCTATGTGTTAACGTAAAGTTTGGACACAAGTATACTTGAGTTCCTATTTTTCTAGCATCTCAGAAAAATATCTTTGCACCTTAAGTATAGTATAGTTTGTTAAATACTGTATATACTTTTTAAGGGGCTATCTATTCTTCAGTTGGAGGGATAGTTCCTGACTTTGCTTAAGTTCTGAGCAGTGTGACCTAAAGGAATTTTCCTGTTTGTGTTTCTACAAATAACATCTTCTCACTTCTCAGTTTTCTTGATAAAAATGAAATCCATCATTCACATTTTCACATTAAGATGACGTGTCAGTAACCTTTGTGGACAATTAGGTTCACTTTAACATAATTTCCAGATCTATTAAATTAGTAATTGCTGTCATTCCCCAAATACAGCAAAATTGGATTTATATAAAGATAACATGTTATTAGGTAGGTCTAGAAGTTATAGCTAAAGATTTCAGGCATTTTATATTCCTAATTTTGAGAATGAAACAGGTGATTTGAGTTTGAAGAGATTGATGCTAAAATAAAGATGTGTTGAATGAGAGATAAAATATAAAAATAAAGATTAAATCATAAAAATGAAATGGATATGTGTCAGGTAAATTAATAGAAGTGCATGTTAATGGAATGTTTTCTTTTACATAGTAGTTTGATTTTAGTAGTTGCTTGATAATAATTTGTCATTAATCCTTAAGATGTAAGCTTACATTATAATTCAAAATAAAATTGCTTTGGATCACAGTCTGTGTATAGCTCTAAAAATTGAGGCACTAACTTTACTAAATGTGTCTTTGATGTTTAATGTGTTCTTAAAAATATAAAATGCTTATTGATGTATTCTTAAATATTAAGGTGATTTTGTTTGTACTTCAAAAGAGAACAGATTTGGATATGTATCTCGTAGTTTTTCAGAGGTAGGAGAGATTAATTACTGTATGATGGCAGCATGAAATTTTTTTTTTTTTTTTTGCAGTACCAGGCATCGAACTGAGGACCTTGTGCTTGCGAGGCAGGTGCGGTGCCACTGACCTAAATCCCTGGCCCGGCACCATGAAATATTTATAATTAAAATGTCTAATTTTCTTCTCATACATTCCTAACAGTCTTTTTTTTTTTTAATGAGCTAATATAAGATTTTGACCTAGAATTAATACAAGTAAATTTGAGTCTTTTTCTGTCATTGACAGGAACAAGAACAAAAAGCTGAAGAGGAAAGGATTCGTATGGAAAACATTCTTAGTGGAAATCCTCTCCTTAATCTCACTGGCCCATCCCAGCCGCAGGCCAACTTCAAAGTTAAAAGAAGGTAGATTAAGTAATGGGTTGGGTTTATATAAAGAGATTATGAATTGGCTACCTATTGTATTATGTTAAGCTTCTAAAACTCCTCTTCCACTAACATTCTTCTATATCTGATTTTGGGAAAATGGAAGAAGGAAAGCAAAAGAAAAACTCATTTTCAGTAGATATTTATAGTAGCCACCTATATACCCAGTAATCTAAACACTGGGGGTAGAGTTATGAACTGAGCCCTTAACCATGCAACTTTATGTATTATGTGCATGTCTCAGTGCTGTAGTTACCAAGACCACCACTCACATTGAAATACTCACTGCAAAGGTTCAGGGGACTTGGTATATGGTTGTATTCACAGCTAACATAGTAAAGACACACAGCTATGTCATGTAGTTTTACTGTTGGGTAACTTAGTAAGGATACGTAGGCAGATCATGAGGGGCAAAGATACAGACTGGAATGGGAGGAATCCATGTGTAGACTTCTTTAAGCTCTGTCCCTCCCACAAGAGGTACACAGAACAACAAAAATGAAACAACATATGCGTGGTATTTCTGCCCAGGGAAGCCCAGTAGAGACTCCATGCCTAAGGGGTTTTTTTGGTACCGGGGGTCGAACTCCGGTCCTTGCACTTGTGCAGCAGGCAGCTGAAACCACTGAGCTAAAATCCCTGGCCCTTGCCTAGGGTTTTTATTGGGAACTAGTCATAGAGGCAACTTCTGCCTAGCACATACCAAAATCCAGACCCTCAAAGGAAAGTAAGTGTTGGACATAAAGCACATTATGCATACATTTTGGCATAGTAACAGTGAGAAACACCTGAAGCACAGGTTTCTGAATCCCAGCCAAAGCCCAACCTTACAAGTGGGCCTAAGGATAGCGGTCTTCAGTCTGTATGTTAATGCTTTTCTGTAGTGCAAATGTATGTGGAGGAGTGAAGAAAAAGGCTGAAGAGGGAGAGAAGATGAACAGTAAATCCTTTATATAGTGTGTGTGTGTGTGTGTGTGTGTGTGTGTGTACATGTACATATATATGGTAATATGTAGAAAAGATTATTGGAAATACTGAGTAGGAAGAAAGTTGGTTATTATTTTACATAAGATAGGAAACCCTATCAGCTTCACTTTTAAATGGCATGCATTACAGTGGTACCTCGGTGCACGAGCTGAATTCTTTCCACGATTCTGGTTGCAAACCTAACTGGACAAGAACTGAGTCAGATTTCTCCATAAGGTCAACATTGAACCTAACCATTGAATTTGATTCAGTTCTTGTCCTACTCAGTTTGTGACCAGAATTATGGACAGAATCAAGTTCGTGAACTGAGATATGACTGTATTTCTCACAATCTCCACTGGTACCATCACCCATCAGGAGTGATGTGCCTCTAGCTACTTGCATGTTTACCACCTTCTATCCTTGTCTCATTTTTTTCCTCAACATAGCAACCTGATCCTTTGTAAACTGTAAAATCACAACAATAGGTTCTTACTCTAAACCTTCAGTGGCATCTTAACTCATTCACAGTAAAAATGTGCTCCTTATAATGATTTATAAAGCTGTAAAAATCTACCTACTCGGTGCAGTGGCAACAGTATACTCAAAAGAAGGTTTACTGACAAGGTGACAGAGACCAGGCTCCAAGGTATTTGGCCTGAGCAACTGAAAAGCTAGAGATAGGGAGGAATGTAGCCTAAGGTTGGACTTGGGGAAGGTAACAGGTTTAGGACATGGTAAAGTTTGGGCTGTTATATACCTGTCTTGGATATATAGTTTAGTATGTTTCTGCAGTTACTACAAGCTGGAGATAATAAATTTGGGAGTTGTCAGCTTATAAAAATTTTGAAAGCTGTAGCATTGAGCAGTATCATCTAGAGAATGAGTGTAAGTAGAGAGAAGTCAGAGTGCTGAGCCTGACACTGTCTAAAGGTTGGGTAAATGATTAGTTATTGATCCCTGGAACAGTGCCCAGTACACAATAGGTGCTTAATAAATATTGTTTGAATGGACAAAAAGAATCAGCTGAGAAGGATCAGCCAGTGGGGAATAAGGAAATGAGAACCAGAAAAGATTGGTATCTAGGAAGTACTGTATTTCAAGAGGAAAGGAATTATCATCGAGGTCAGATATTGATGTGGAACAAGTGAAGTGAGTACTGAGATTTAGCAAAATAGAGGAAAAGTTTTAGTATGGGAAGAGGGACAAAAGGCCTGTTGGGAGTAAGTTAAGGAGAGAATGGATATAGAAAAAACTATATTAAATGTTTATTAAGCTATATAGCTTAATTCTGCCCTTTTTTGTTTTTTTGTTGGTTTTTTTTTGGTACCTGGGACTGAACTTAGGATCTTGTACTTTTGAGGCAGGCAGCGGCACCACTGAGCTAAATCCCCAGCTCCGTTCAGCCCTTTTTTGGATACAAATAGAAATATATCTTAGATTCCAGTCATTGATCTGTTTGTATACTGCATTAGTGACAACTTCAATATTTTCCAAAGATACCCACATCCTTTGTTTATTTCCCATGTGCAGCTTCTTCTGGCAAATAGACACATTAGATGGCTTTGTATTTCATATATATTTATGAGAGTATGTCATATATTTGTGCCTTGTTGTTTATATGCTAGATCATATTCTGAAATCATGCTCTTTATTTTCTGTAACAAGTATTTTATAGTCCACCCAAGGGTGCTTTTTAATGCTTATGCTTTGAAATCCAATCATTTAAGCAGATATTTCTTTTGTGTGTGTGTGTGTGTGTGTGTGTGTGTGTGTGTGTGTGTACTGGGGATTGAACTCGGGACCTTGTGCTTGCAAGGCAGGCAGCAGAACCACTGAGCTAAATCCCCAGCCCTAAGCAGATATTTCTTTATGGTTAATGTAGATGTAGGCCAATATGGGCCTTAATTGTTGCATTCCAATAGTTCTTTCTTTTTCTTCCCTTGTAATGTGAATAGTACAGTGGACGACTACCAAATGTTAACCGATAGAGAAATATATAAAATCTTCAAAACCACCTAATCTAAACTACACTAAGCTGACTACTTTATACTAATCATGGTAGTCTTTTTTTGTTTTGTTTTTCTTGTTGTTTGTTAATTTTTAAATTAATTTTATTGGAACATTTTAAGTATACAGTACAGTTACATTCATCATTGGAATCAAGGTAGTCTTTGCACTGCCTCTGTTTTAGACCTAAAAACATCAATAAAGTTGATAATGAAGTTTCTTTTATTAGAGACATAAAGATGGTGTTTGGTATGTTCTAAATAGAAATTGTCCCTCCTGCTATAATAAAGCAAGATTCTGTATTAAGGATCACTCTGTTCTTTGGCTGTGTCAAGTAAAACATACTAAGCATCTTTCTGTGTAATACCAATTTTTCCATTGCACATAGTATTCTTGTCATGTGATGCAAACATGAGGGCCTTTTTTTTTTTTTCAGGTGGGATGATGATGTTGTCTTCAAGAATTGTGCAAAAGGTGTAGATGATCAGAAGAAAGACAAAAGATTTGTAAATGATACACTGCGATCTGAATTTCACAAAAAGTTCATGGAGAAATATATTAAGTAGTACAGTTTTATGTGCTTAATTAAATTCTGTAAAATGTTGAGGATTGGTTTGATTTTTTTTTATCCTTCCCACCATCTAAATGGTGTATAGGCTTCCCTAATTTTAAGCTCCAAAATATGTTGTCCTTTGATGATGTATTATGTGATAATGGACATGGGAATAGGTTCAACACAGTTTCCATTCCCTGACTGTTTCTGGTCACGTGTTTGTTTTTAATATTGGGAGAAGAAATCTGTCTGCAGTTAATATTTTTAATCTAACTAGGTCTGGGTATCTAACTTTTTCTTGTAATTTATGCAGCATGTAAAATGTTGCATAATTTCTTTTCAAAAGAAAAAATATCTTTGTGTGTTTGTTTTTTTAATGTAGTATATTTTCCCCTTTATTTCTTACATTGATTTAAGTTTAGTTAATTCATAATATTTTCACTGTGTGTTTTTTAAGAGTACAATAAAAGGCTAAAGGGGTCACATTTTGAGTCACATGTTATAAGTACACAGGTATGTGTCTAGGAGAGAACTGGGTATCTCACCTCAGCAGGCACTCCTGTTTCATTTGGCCTGGGACAGGAGCTCTGCAAGCATTCTTAGGCAAATGGGAATCACTTGTGTTCTAGATGCTGAAATGCCTCTTGAATGAGGTAAGTGCACACTGATATGTATTAGACACAAAGCTGTGGAAAGTTTCAGATCAACACATAAAACCTTTAGAAATAGGATATATCTGCTATTTTACATATCTGTGAGAAAGTGGTAGGGAGAAACAGAGCTGGGCTCTATTGGGAAATAAAGTTTTCCTAAACTTGGGCTGTGGTTTACAGGAGCCACATTGATAGAAATTGGGTGCCAGCCCTCGGTGTGGTGACGCACATCTATAATCCCAGCTACTCAAGAGGTTGAGTCAGAAAAATGGTGAGGCCAGCTTGGGCAACTTAGCTGGACCCACTCTCAAAAATAAAAAGGGTTCAAGAATATAGCTCAGTGCTAGAGCTCTTGTCTATCATATGTGAGGCCCTGGGTTTAATCTCCAGTCCCACAAAATTTGCAACAAGAAATAAAGCCTTTTACAGATAGAGACCATTTCATGGGATTCCTTAGCTGTGAATGATGATGAGTTTAAAGACAAGACTTTGAAAGCAAAATAGCATATTCCTTATTGCTTGGTATTAAATCCTTTTCAGTAAGACCTTATTCCTCTAGCATTTTTCCAGTGTAAATTTGAACATAGGTTGTAAGTAGCCTGAGTCGGGAGTACAGCTAGACCTGGAGGCTGCAGTTTGACTAATATTTTTCTAAAAAGCCTTTAATAATTATAAGACTTTATTTTTACCTCTAAACTTTACATTTCCATTATCTTCCTAGCAGCATTATTAGGTAGCAAAGAAGGACTGTGTTACTCAGAATTAAGAAAAATGAAGCTCAGGCCCAGTGACTTGATCCAGGTTAATATGTGAGTGATGGATCATGTATATAAACACCTCAACACTATAAAAATGTTTACAGATACAAGTGACATTAGCTTCTCAGAACTGTGGTCCTTGTTCTTTTTGTAGCATCTGAAAGGATATATGTAACTCATGTCCAGAAGTCTGGTTTAGGTGCACGATTACTGCAAGATCTACTTATTTTGGATTTTCTATTTGAATCAGATAGGTTATGGAAGAATCAGAGTAAAGCTAGTTTCAATTTTTTTTCTCCCTTTCCCTCTAGTTTTCCAGTGTAGGATCACAGCATATAACCAGAGTTACAGACCCAGGACAAGTAAATGTGTCAGCTTTCCAATTTACAGCACAAGTTACAATGTACTTAGCTACAATGCCTTACTGCACTCCCCTTGCAAAAACACTTGTGGTGGAGCAGTTAAGGGACCTAGTCCTTTCAGGGACTGATGCTGAGTGGAAAGAACCAGAGCTTCAAATGGATGGGGCATGAAGCCTAGCTTTGTCACTCAGGTTTATTAGAGTCAGAGTTGGTTGAGTGTTTACCATGTTTGTACTGTATTCAACTAATGACCACTCCTTGTAAGATAGGCATTGTTGTTTTTCACCTTTTGTATGTAAGGGAGTTGGCAACTGTAAGTTTATAAAAAACAGCAGTCATAAACTTGGCCAGAATTCAAATGTAGAAGTCTTTATTCTAAGCCCTTTTTACTGCTGTGCTTGACTGCCTCTTCATGTTAATTAGCCCATCTCTGTTTTATGAAGCAATAAATTTTGGGGGGTCTGATGTTTTTGTTTAAAAAATGATTACATTTATTAGACGCATTGCCATTAATCCTTTTCAAAGTGGTCCCCCTTGTTTTGAACATACTCCAGCATTCTTGCCACTTTTTTTTTAAGTTTTTTTGTTTTATTTGCAGTACATAATACATTTTATTGTTTGCAGTACATAATACATTCATCCTGGGGGAATAGACATACATATGTATCACATCCTGATCTTTTTTACTTCCCCTTTCTCTCCCCTCCTGTTGAAATAGGGATATCAACCTCTAAATGATAGAAGGGAAAGACTGTAACTCCTAACCTGTTAGATGTCTGATATGTCGAGTTTGTGTTCTCTAAAATCAAAGAGTGAATTCTAGAAACAACAGAGGTTAAAAGTATGAAATACTTATTTTTTTTTTTTTTTTTTT